TTTTTTTTTCTTTTTTTCTTTTTCTTCTTTCTGTTTTTCACTTTGTTTTTGTCTATTTTAAAACTACTATTATTATTTCATATTACTTTTGTCTTTTTACTATTATTCTTTATTCTTCCCATCCCAGGTTCTAGTTTTCAGCTTTTTTTCTCTTCTGTGTTCCTGTTTGCATTTTTTTTTCTTTCTCATGGTTAACCCCATTGCTTGTTTTTCTTTTTGCATTTTTCCCATTTTTTTTTCTTCATTCTCCTTTACCTTTTTTCTCTTATTGCCCCCTCCCCAGATATTGCAGGTTTTATTTTTTATTATTTTCCTTCTTTTCTTTTTTTGGTTATTGTCCCTGTGTTTTTGTCCATTTGCTTTTACTTTTTGGATGGTTATTCAATTGTTATTTTTGTCTAACTGAGTGGAAGACAGCAACAGTCCCATGTGACACAACTACACCCACACCTCCTGCAGCTTCACTCACTGAGTGAGAGCCACCACTTCCTTCTCCACCAACAGGCCAACGATAAAAAAACACCAAGAAAAGCCTGAATAACCATTGGCTGCTCTTCACAAACAGTTAACAGAGATCTAAATACAACACCACCACGATATCTCAGAGACAACAGACAATCACAGTCCACACAAAGAAAAAAGATAAAGTGGTAGAAACAAGGGAGCAAAATACAGACCCAGAACACATCCCTGAGGAAGCAGCAGCATTGGAACTGTCTGATAAGGAATTCAAAAGAATTGTATTTAGGTTTCTTCAAAGGATTGAGAGACAGACCAAGGAAAACACAGACAAAACCCTAGAAGAATTCTGGAATAAAATACAAGAACAAAATGACAAATGAAAAATTAGAAATGATTCTAAATCTACAGATAGAAATTCAGAAGATTAATACTAAACTGTCAGAAATAGATAACATTGAAAGGGCAAAGGAATAGAATTGATGCAATGGAAGACAGAATTAATGAGATTTCAGACAAATAACTGAATACTTCTTTGGAAAGAGATCTATCAGAAAAAAAAAAAAAAAGA